GGGGCGGGGGCTTAGTCACCGGCCCCTGTGCGCGGGCGGGTTGGGTTGGGTGGGGAAACACGCCCTCCCCTCCCGCCTCAGCAGAGGGAGCCGCGCTGGCGGAGGAGCCCGCGGGCAAGGAGGCTGACAGGAGCTGGAGGCACAGATCTGAGCTAAGAAGGGTGTTTGTTCACGAAAAGACCTGCCTCAAGAAGGGTGTTTGTGCCCCCAAATTTGCAGAGAACAGTTTATTAGACTGAGTTGGTCCAATAAAAGACACCGCAGTTCCCCAACGAACCTTGCAGACCTGCGCTAAAGAAGACGTGGATGAGCCCCCCTTGCTGGGCTAAGCACCCCGGCTGGCGCGGCGCTGGTTTGATAAAGGGCTAGTTGCTACGGGAGACGGACTGGCTCCGCACCGGTTATACCAGGGTTTAACTGTCACAGGTCAACCCATCTTGCCACAAGGCAAAGTTACCCTTTAGTTAGAATGGCAATTTTGTCTGAGCATAAACCCGCTCCTGAAGGGACATAAACTAGGCTGCAAAAAACAACAACAACAAAAAGACACTTTTATATGAGAATAGGAAGCCGCAGGCAAGATGCTGTGTGGATGCTTGCAATGCTTCAAAGTCACAACACTGTGATACGGATATGACTTTCCCATGTAGACAAGCCCTACATCAGTTTTAAACTGTGATTTCTCCCCCCTCCCCCCTTTTTCTAATAACTGTAAAATGGTTCAAGACTTTATGTGCAGACTGACAGCCACTGGAGCCAAGGCTATGCTGTACCCTGAGTTTGCAGATTTATAGGCTCTAAAACGATGCCTACGCTAGTGTTTTCTACTGGCAAAGATAGCAGAGGTATGGAGAAGTGTGATCCCAGATTGACATAGCTGTGCTTTCTTTGTGTGTTTGGTGGGATGACATGAGGTTGCGCCACTAAAAGTACAACTGGACCCACATGAGCACTTCGCTTGTCTAGTATGCCTGTGTTGCTATACCGGTAAAAAGCACCTGGCATAGCCTCAGGCCTAGTCTTTACTACACGCTCTTGCTTGTATGGTAATATTGCCCAATAATAAGTTGTTGGGTTTTTTTAATGTTTCCCAGTAAAAGCCCAAATGTAGGTGATGCTGCCACAGGAAAAAAGTGTGTTGCTAATATAACTTATTTCCTCCTTAGCACTGCCTGACTTCAGGCTAACATGTTCCCCATTTCTTTTGGGGAACACATAAGCAACACTGATAAAAAACAGTCTTTCCCCAATAAAAAACAGTCTTTTCCCAGTATAAGGTATGTCTACACCAGGAGTTTACTGTTTATACTTTAAGCATACTTATGGGAGTGCTTAACTGCTCCATTCATGTAGACGAATGTTAATACAAGTGCCTATTAGTTATAATTTAAATATCAACTTTATTAGTGATTTCACTTTACTCAAAGCATGGAGAAATGAAAAAGGATCTTATCATGAAGTTCTGAACAATTTTGAGTGATGTCTTACTTTGGTACCATGAGTACGCAGTGCTCAGGAGGGCACTAGAGTATATGTCAAAGATCCTAACATAGCTCACCAAGGTGTCAGAAGCCCAGGAATGTGAAGCCAAGTCCAAAGAGCAGAGCAGAGCATACCTGATCTTTATTTTCAATATCTGTACAATCTGATATTGGTATCTAAGATGGGCAGGGTTTAATTTGCAGACAGAATCAACCCCTTCCCCCCAGGCAAAGATCTTCATTGACAGACGGGAGCTGGAGAATGTTGAACACTTTGCATCCCTTAGCAGCCATCTCTCAAAGGCAGCCAACATCGAGGAGGGGATCCAGTGTAGGATCTGATGTGCCAGCTTTGCCTTCAGAAGACTGAATCATTGTGTGTTCCATGATCATGATACCAGGACTCAAACAAAGCTTCTACTATACAAGGCTGTGGTAATCCCAATTTTTCTCTATGGCATTGAAGCTTGGGTGACCTGCATGGCCCACATGAAAAGCCTGGAATGCCATCATCAGCACTACTGCTGGAAGATCCTTGACAGAGTGGGAGGATGGTTGCACAAATGCCAGTGTCCTCACTGATGCTTAACATCCCAGTATGGAAGTGTTGATTATTCAACATCAGTTGCAGTGGACAGGTCATCATATGCGCACGTCTAATCTATGTATATCAAAACAACTGCTATACTCCCAACTCAGTCAAGGGCAAAGGATCCCTTTAACCACAACCACATTTGCCAGAGAGTCTGTGGCTCTAGGGTTGGCCGCCTTAGCTATCGACACACTCATTTATAACCCTTTATTTGACCTGTGGGAGTGATGATCCTCGACTGCGAGGAATCGCCAATGACAACAGCTACAACTGTTTTCCTAGTCTATTCTCCAGGGATAAGCTCAGTTTGATGTTGAAAAGATCCATCCATGCCAGGGTACCATGTGTAAATGAATGTCCACTTGTATTTGTGTATGGTTAGGACCCAGTCAAGGTTTAAATCAGGTGATCTAAGTTAACTCTGCCACCATTGATTGGCCAAGGGAATCTGTTATACTGATACTTGCCAAACAGCTCCACACTGTTTTTTTCTGTACATTTAAAAGGCGTTATCTCTCAGATTTGGCCTGACAACTGCCGCCTTCTGCAAAAACACAGATTACAAAGCCTAGGACAAAGCTTGTGAAAGTGGGGGGTTTGGAAGTGGGAAAAGGCAAAGCACTCTTTTTAAAGCGGTTCTGGCTATGAACTAACTTTTGAGAGGACATGAAGTGAATCCTGAGATTGATTGTCTTTAGGAAGAGTTGAAAAACCTCTTTCTCTGAAAAAGTATTTTCATGATGGTAGTGACATTCACAATTACAGCTGGTCGGAAATTTTCCAGTGAAACTAAATTTTGTAAAAAAATGCCAGTTCAATGAGCCCAAAATATGTCATTTTAAACATCTCTGGCTTGTCAAATTTTTGTTAAACTCAAGGCAGGATTCTTTTCATCAGTAGAACTGACATGAAGAAAAGCGTAACAGGGCAGCCCAAGGTACTACCAGTACCAGAGAACTACCAGTTTGGATCAAATCCAAATAAAGTTCCACTGCATTTTGACTAGTTCGATTTACAATATTGATACCTTTTTGTGCTCCAAAAACCTTTTCTCATTCTTTCCCCTGCAAAAATAAATAAATAAGTAAATAAATATTTTTGTTTTAAAAAGAAAAGAAAAAGAGTCCTAACCCAAGCAGTGTTTTTACCCTAAAAGGTAACATTTAAACATTCCTAGAATAGATAGGTAGATAGCACTTCTATTCCATTCCAGCCATCTGGCATTATGGAGTCATTGCAAAATAGATGGATTCCAGCTGTTAATAGTCAATGCAGCAAGGGGGCTGACTTGTATTTTTGTGGTGGGGGGAGGGAGGGGGCTTACATGATGGACATGTGGAACTTTTTATGCATTTCAGGTGAGAGCCTTCTTTCCGAGGGGGGCCAGGGTCCTCAGGCCTCATGTACTCAGCACCTCTGCAATGGAGAACAACTTTTGAGGTAGAAGGCCTCCCACTTCAATGTATGTGTTATTAGACAAACTTCAGCTACATGATTACCTACTTTTTCCCACAGAGCTCCTGCCTTATTCAATGGATAGTTAGTAATTTTAGAGACAGAAAATTTACTTTTGTCTCATTCCCAATTCAGCAAAATACTTAACTTCAAGTATGTGAGCAGTCCTATTGTGTTCAATACTACTCACATACTTAAGAGACTATATCTTATTATTCTGCAGATTTCTTTCATATATATTTATAATCTCTCTTTAGTATTTATCTTTTCTGAGATGTTTATTGTCCTTCACTTTTTTTGAGGTAATTTTACCCTGATATGTGATTCATTTTGAATTGCCTTTTCTTTCAGGAAGGTTTGCCACCTACTCAATTAAAGGAATTTGAAGGTAGGTTTTATGCTCCTTGGGAACGTTGTATGATGATGAGTCAAAGACCTGGGTCAAATTCTATTATAATAGCATTTCTGTCAAGGGTCAAAAAACACTGGGGCAACTACTGGAGCTAGTAATCTTATTCTAGGGAGATAAGAGCCAGGTGTCATAATCCTTTAAAATGATACTTTCAGCAGTGCAGAACAACAGAGAGAGTAATTTTTCCCTTTTAAACTTAAAATCAAAGTACAATAAAATCTTTGTTATCTGGCATCCCTGGGGTGAGGGGATTGCCAATTATGTAAAAATTCCGGTTATCTGAAATAACCTGGCAGGTGTTTTCAGATAATGCAGAGTGGAGGAGGGGGATGGGGAAGGGAGTGGCAGTGGTTGCAGGTGGAGCGGCAGCAGCGCAGGGTGGTGGGTGGCGGCGGCGGTGGTGGTATGCAAGCTTTCCCCCATGCCTCCTCCCCCTGCATCTGGCCAGCCGATCAGAAATTCTGGTTAATAGAATTTCCTGTTACTTAAATGCTGGATAACAAAGAATTTACTATAGTAAGGACCTATTATCTCTTCTAGTCCAAATGCCATGCCTACTAGGGCAGTAAGAGTGTCCTTTTCCTTCAGTGCTTAGGCAAATAGTTGTTGCCAGCTCTGACAGCTCTACCATTAATTTCACAACTTCTGTGTTTACCCAGAAGCCCCAGCTCCTGGAGACATGGTATTAAGTTTTGATTTTAAATATGTTTTTACCTCTCATGATGGTAGGAAAAAGCTTGAAATTGTGACCAAATACATCCTAAAGACTCAAATGGAAGGGAACTAAGAAATAAACAAAATAAACATTTTTGTAAAATTATCATGATTTTGGAG